CAGGAGGAATTTCTCCATGGAAAGAGTGAAGTTCTGAGGCCTGAACAACAGGCCCTGAGCCAAAGCTGACCTCTTGATGAACCTTCCAACAAACGTTACTTCTGTCTGCGTATCTGCTCGTTAAGGAACTGATCATTAGTGAAAGAATTTATTTATCTTTCCATATTTAGAGGCCGGTCAAGGCCATGGAATCAGATGCCTGGCCTTGTTTGGCAGGAGATGAATGGTCAAGGTTGACTCCCTTGGTTTTCCCCCTTGAGCCCTGGCTAGGCTTTGGGTGGAACCCAAGAGGAGAAGGAAACCAGATGTTTCTGCACTAGAAGTTATGTAAACTTGCTTTTTCAATAACATAAAACAATGGAAAAGCTGGAGTTCAGGGGAGGACTGGCCGTGGCACTCAGTGCTCTGGGCTGGGGGACAAGGTGGGGGTCGGGCACAGGCTGGAGTCGATGGTCCCGGAGGGATTTTCCAACTGAAATGCCTCTGGGATTGCAGGAACCTCCTGGTGAACCTGGGGCTGTTTGCTGCCGGGGTCTGGGTCGCCCGGAACCTGACGGACATCGACCTGATGGCCCCGCAGCCCGTCCCGTAGGGCCGGTGAGTGCAGGGATCTGTGAGTGCAGGGATCTGGGCGGGATCTGGGAAGGTGGGAACAGCTGTGCTTGGAATCACGGAATGCCCCAGGTTGGAAGGAACTACAGGGATCATCCAGTCTAACTCCTGGCCCTCACAGGACACCCCAGCAATCCCACCTTATCCCTCAGGGCGTTTTCCAAACCCTCCTGGAGCTCTGGCAGCCTTGGGGCTGTGCCCACTGCCCTGGGGAGCCTGGTCAGTGCCCAACCACCCTCTGGGGGAAGAACCTTTTCCTGAGATCCAACCTGACCCTGCCCTGGCACAGCTCCAGCCCTTCCCTGGGGCCTGTCACTGCTCACAGGGAGCAGAGATCAGAGCTGGACTCGTGAGGAACCTGCAGCCCCCTGAGGTCTCCCCTCAATCTCGAGGCTGAACAAACCCCCCAGATGTGTCCTGACACCCCCCAGGACGGGGCTGTCCCCGTGTGAGGTGACACAGATGAGGAGTGACCAGCGGGACCAACCCCTGAGCCCACCCCAGGCCCAGGAGCACCAAAGCCCACACGACCCAGCCTTCACACAGGGTTGTAAAGCTGTCACTAAGCTGCCACATGCCAGAACCCACCTCCCCTAACACTGCTGAATCCCTGTCCCAGGAATTCCTGGAGCTGCAGGGAGCAGAGCTCACCCTCCCAGCAGGACCGGAGCCGTGTTGGGCCGCGACGGGTTCGCTGCATTCCTGGAAGGACGTCGTCGTTCTCCTCCCCTGCAGAGCTGCTGCTCCCAGTCCCTCCTGTCCTGCTCCAGGCAGTGACAAGAGGGAAAGATTTAAGGCTGAGAGGAAGAATTTGTTTCCAGTTCATTCCTCAAGGCACAACAAGAATGGTTTTCTCAAGGATGGTTGTGGAATTTCCTTCTGTACCCCCCCCAGATGTTTATTAAAGTCTATGGAATAACGACATGGCCCTCTGGAATTTCTTCTTCTTTTTTTTTTCTTTTAATAAGAAACTTCAGCTTACAAAAACAAGGTGTAAAAAGAGTAAAGATTTACAAAAAAATCATAAAAACATGATTTATATTTCACACCCGAGAGACAAAAGGGCCGAGCCCAGCCCTGGGGCTGCACCCGAGACCCATCCACTGATCCTGCAAAGGAAAATCCAAACTGGGACGAGCCCGAGGGGAACTCCAACCACCTGGGTTCCTGGGAAATGTCCCTGTGGGATAAAGCTGGGGCATGGAGAGGAATGATGGCTGTGTGTGGGAGGAGAAGCCATTTGGTGTTGCATAGCATGGGGTGCCCTGGGCTGAGGCTGGAACAGTCCAGCGGCCAGGGGACGAGGGAAGCACCACTGGGAGCTGGGATCTACTCACAGGGGACACACCAGCTCCTGGGATTTACTCACAGGGGACACACCAGCTCCTGTGAATTACTCACGGGTTACACACCAGCTCCTGTGATTTACTCACGGGTTACACACCAGCTCCTGGAAGGTGCTGTGGAGGAGCAGGAGGAGCTCCCAGCCCTGAGAGCCGTGGCAGTGGGGTGCAGCATGGCTTCACATTCTTTGGACAGTTTCACAGGGTTTTAGTTCAGGACATTCTCCTGGAGCAGCTGTTCCCATGTCTGGAGGACAGAACTGCCCCTCACCTGCTCCTCCCCCCCCCCAAAAAACCCCCTCACTCCACTTCCCCTAAAAATCCTTAAAAATGCTGTTTTCAAAGCTGGTGTTTGGACATCCTGTAAAGAAACTAAATTCTTTTGAAGTTGGGATAATCCAAGTTATGCAGAAACAGTTTCTGCAGGAAAAGGGGATTAATTAGAACATTTCAGTCCCTTTATAGTTAATCTCAGTTTTGATTTACTCACACTAATCCCCCCCAGCCTGGGGTCAGGCAGGGGCCAGGCTGTGCCCATGGAGGCTGCCAGGGGTGACTTGGGGATGCTGGGAACAAACCTGACTGGAAGAAAAGCTGATGGGGATCAGGAGGCAGCTGGACAGACTGCCAGGAACAGTCAGGAACCATGGAATATCCTGAGCTGGAAGGGACTCACAAGGACCATCCAGTCCAACCCCTGACCCTGCACAGACACCCCAACAATCCCACCCTGTCCCTCAGGGCATTGTCCAAACCCTCCTGGAGCTCTGGCAGCCTTGGGGCTGTGCCCACTGCCCTGGGGAGCCTGGGCAGTGCCCAACCAGCCTCTGGGGGAAGAACCTTTTCCTGAGATCCATCCTGAGCCTGTCCTGGCACAGCTCCAGCCATTCCCTGGGGCCTGTCCCTGCTCCCAGGAGCAGAGATCAGAGCTGGACTCGTGAGGAACCTGCAGCCCCCTGAGGTCTCCCCTCAGTCTCGAGGCTGAACAAGCCCAGTCAGTGCCCTCAGCCACCCCTCCCATGGCTGCCTCTCTAGAGCCTTCACCATCCTTTTAGCCCTTAATGAATTAATTGATTAACTGGATTCTCTCTCACTTGCTGCTGCCTGGCAGTGTCCTTGAGGAGGACACTCCCAGCCTGGCACAAGTCAGCTCAACTCATTAGTGATGTCAGGAATGGAGCTGGAGCAGAAACACAAGGCTGTTCTGACTTAAATCCGCTGAAAAATCCAGGGAATCCACCCAAGCTCCAGCTTGGCTCTTCACCCAAACGAGCACTTCCCTCCTGTTTTCACAAGGGCTGCCAGGGGATTCCATACCAAGGGAAAACTCCTCTCCTGTCCAGCCTCTGCCAACAGCCCCCTGCCAGGAACCTGAACCAGAGACTTATTTGGGGGCAAAAAATTGGAAGGTTTTTTCAGTGCTTTGCAGAGAAACTGTTTTTTTGTGGAATGCATAGTTTAACTTGGGAATACAGGCAGGAAAAGGGATAATAAAGGCAAATTCATGTAACCAACTTGCTAGTGGAAAAAAGTTACCTACAGTAAAGTGGCTTCCAACGGGTACAGCAGATGCTGGATGACACCTGGCCATGGATACATGAAGATTCTTCTCTCTTAAGAATTAAGGAAATCCCATTTAGTCACAGGTTGGATAGGATAAGGATATGCTGGGAACAGTTTCCTCCCAAAGGCTGCACATCCCAAGCCTGACTTCCTGCTCCTCACACAACAACCTGGGAGGTGCCACCAACCTCCCACTTGCTCCAAGCATCTCTCAAGGCAAACGGCCCCTGCTGCCAGAGTGGGTCCCCAGGACAGGAATCCCAGCACATGGAACAACAGACTGACTCCCAGTTGGACCAAAACAAAGGGGGTTGTGTTGCAGACACTTGGTTTGCACTCCCAGCTGTGACTGCTGAACTCCTCCCAGCAGCTGAGTCACCTCATCTACCTGTAAAACTGGTATTAATTCTAATAATTAATTCTAACAGAGCCTAAAACTGGAATTAATTCTAAATCTGCATCAGGGCAGGGGCAGAACTGGAAGCCACATGGTTAAGCAGGGACAGATCTGCTTTGGAGGCCGCCCCTTGTCAGACACACCTCAGTGGCTTCCCTGGAATTCCAAGCAGTATTTTCACCTTCCTGATGGAGAGGGTGACTTCCATGAGACTTTCTGGCAAACAGGACACTCTAAAACAGTGCCCACATGGAGGGAGCCTTGGGCTCTGCCTGTCTCAAGCCTGCAGGAGCCAACTATAAACCAACCAGCATCAAAAGTGCCTTACGCTGTCGCTTCCAAAGAAAAGCTAAATATTCCAGAAACCTCACAGTGTTGGAAAAGGCAGGTTTATCTGAGTTTACTTCATTCCTTCCCTATCAGGGCTATCGTTTTCCTGGCTGCAGGATCTCCCCAGCTCAGCTGATGCCCCTTGGAGACTCATGACTAGAGATGTCACCTCGAGTCCTACAAACCCTGGCTGTGGGAACACTCCCAGCTCCCTGTGACCCCCCCTGAGAGCTGCAACTCCAGCTGAATTCCAAGATTAATGCCAAACACTCAGTCAAAAGATGAGCACTGATGGCACAGAGCCTGGGCTCGCTGCAGGAACAACTCAAGCTGCAGTGGGTTTGCCTTTCTATGGGATTTTTATCCAAAAAAAGGGCCAGCATGGCTTTGGGATGCAGGGAGGGAACCCAAGGGCCAGTTGGGAGCAGAGCAAACCACAAATAATCCCCTTAAAGGGCAGGCAGGCAGGCCTGGAAGGACACAAGGATGGGGAAAACACCTCAGATGAGGTGTTTCTAAGCACTATTTTGCCTTTAATTTGAATTTTCTCTGCCTCACAGAACATATTCTGCTCCAGAACGAATCCATCACGTGTCTGACAATCACAAGCACTTCTGATTCCTTCAGGAATGTCAACTTCTCCCTGGCTGAGCCCAACTCAGCTTCCCCTGCAGTCCCATTTGTTGCTATTGGATCTCAATTTGGCCTATTTTACATTTTTTGCATCATTACTGATTTCATTTACTGGCAGCACCAAAAGTCCCCCACCCAGTAAACACAAAGACATTCATTAATCCCTCCAGCCCTTGCAACACTTAGAGAACCAAAACTATACCTTTTTCATCAGGACTGTTGCAAACTGTCTCCAAAAAATAAAGAGTATCTGATCTCAGAACGACACTGAACTGTCAAAAAGACATTCTTTTAGGCTCAAAAAGCAGCATGTTGGTCAGAGCACAGGAAATGGGAAACTCAAAGGGCAGGGGAGCCCTCGTGTGATGCTGAGCTCTGGCACAACCCAAATTTCTTCTTGCTGTGCTCAACTTGCCCAAGGACAGGGGGGGTAAAAGTCCCAGGAGTGGCAGTGGGAAGAGGAGTGGGATTTGGGAGGGTTCCCTTTTCACCCCCTCCCACGACAACGTGGGTGTCTGAGGGGCAAACACTGACAAGGATGAAAGGAGAAGAGGAGAAACACACTTTGGGAACTTCCCTACCTGAAAATGGAACCATTTTTTTGAAGAACCTCGTATTTTAGATTATTTCACCTTTTAACAATTAAAAAAATAACCAAGATTGAAAGACATCACCTGTTGGGTTTTTGTTTTTTTCTTTTTTTTTTGCAGTTCCATATTCAGGTTAAAACATGAAACGTGAACAGCCAAACCCCAAATTACAAAAACACACCTGAGGTGCAACTGTAGGCTGAGAAGTGACTACAAATAGTCCACTAAGGCTCTGTGTTTCTCACAGGATTCTAAAATCAGGATGATTTCAGATACAGACATTTTTGCAGCCTTTCCAACTCGACGTGGAATTTGAGATTTAACTACATTCCTTCCCTTGATGGCCCAGCAGGAACAAAGACCTCACAGGGGGAATTCTGGGCACTGCCTGGATCCAGGGCCACCTTCCCCTGCTCTGGGCTTGTGTGACTACTGACTGTTCCCCCTCCAGAGGCAGTGACAGAATCCAGCTCTGTCCCCCACACTGTGGCATTCCCACCACTGCTCCCCTGAGGAAAATGAGCCACATTTGTAAGAAAGAGTGAGTTTGCCACTGTGAGATGCCTCCACACCACCAACTTCTGCTGCCACAGCTGTGCAAGCCACAGACTTTCTAATCCTGGGGACAGTGATGCCCCTCCAGCAGAAACCTGGAGCACAGGTTTTGGTTTTGCTGCCAGATCTGGCACACAGGTACATTCCTGGTTTATTACAGGGGTTGTTTTTTGTGTTTAAACACACTTTCTCCAGAGAAGAACTGTATTAACATCACATTCTGAGTGAATTTAGCTGCCAGTTGAGTTCAGCCCAGAGAATAAGCCATGAAGTGTGACACAGCCCCAGTGGCACTGACACACAGAGCTGCTGGCAAAGCTTCAGCCAGGGCTCTGCCCCCAGCTGATGGCAGAGAAACTGGTGTCACAGGGGCAGCTGAGCCCTGGGGGAAGAATGAAGAAGAGCTTACACATTTCTGCAGCAAGAACAGCTCTGGGGCAGCCAATCCCTTGCAGGCAGTGCCTGTGATTCCCCTGGCAGAGGGAATGGCCACTGGAGGGGAGGGGACTGTACCTGCTCCTGCTGCAGTTTGCCCAGGATTGGTGGGGACTGAAGGGCTCTGAAGCCACCTGGATGCTCCTCTTTCCTGGCTGTGCTCACTTGTCACAGACCTCACGCAGCCCCTCTGAGATGAGATGAAATTCAGCATCAAACTCCCTAATTTCCTTCCTGTGAGCCTAATTCAGCAACGAGACTCTTTAAAACCAAGGTTCTGACAACGCCCTGACGTGTCAGAACTCCCCAGCTCCAGGGGCTTTCCCAGACCCGGGGTGGCAAAGATCCTGCTCTGATCCCACTCCTGCAGCCAGTGTTCTTCCCCACGGGAGGGAAGATGTGAACACCAATGGTTCCAGAAAGAGCTGAGCGTGCTGATGGAGTGACAGGGCTCCCCGTCATGGGAATGTCAGTCTTCTGTCCTTGTCACTGCTTTTGGGTGGCACCTGAGCTTGGAGTTGTTTTTCTGAGATTCCTGCTTCGTCCTGCACCGTTCTTTGAGTGTAAAAGAGAATGTAGGCCTGGGTCTTGCACACCTCCTCCACACTACATACATTCAGCTTGGAGTCATTGCAGTGGACCCAAAACCCTGGGGAGCAAAGGGAGAAAGAAGGTATTAGGAAGGGAGGCAGGATTCCTCCTGAATGCATTTTGAAACTGTTCATAGGAAACATCCACAATGCAGGAAAAAAGGCATCTCTGTTTGTTCCTCCACAGATGCTTTGGAGTTTCTAATCTGGAAAACATTCTGAGCCTTTTTTTTTTCCCCTTTTTTTTTTTTGTGCTTTACAAATACCAAATATTAATTTCATCAGTGATATATAACATCCCAAAAGCTCAATTAGGCAGACAAGAATCCCCTGGAGATGGCCAATTTGTCCCCCTTCCTCCAGCCAGCAGGCAGAGTCGATGCTAATTCAGCTGCTGGAGCCTCACCACCCCCTGCGGATGTTATTCATGAATAGTTCCTGTCCAGGCTCAAAACACTTTCTGTTTATCTCCTCGTCCCAAGGATACTGAGCAAAGACACCCAGCTGGAGCAGCTCCACGGAGTGACTCTGCCTGAGAAAATGGAGCATTCATGGTGCTCCCAGCAGGCAGGAAAAGGATCCCCGAGGGCCACGGAGCCGCAGCGGGGCCTTTGTGTGACCAGGAGTCCCAACCCAACCCCTGTGCCACGAGGAGTCCCAACCCAACCCCTGTGCCACGAGGAGTCCCAACCCAACCCCTGTGCCACGAGGAGTCCCAACCCATCCCCTGTGCCACGAGGAGTCCCAACCCAACCCCTGTGCCACGAGGAGTCCCAACCCAAACCCGCCACCAGAAACACACCCAGGGGCAAACAAACTGCTGAGCTCGACCCCGAGGAGCTCTGGAAGCACGGAGCTTCACGCCAGGCCACACCTGTGGGATAAAAGGGGAGTTTGTGGGGTGGGGCCCCCGTCCCCAGGCACACGCACCTCCCTCCGTGTTGTAGCAATAAGCTGTGTAGTGTCCTGAGCCAAACCCCTTCCCGTGATGCATCACCACAGCCGAGAGGTCATACACAAGGGTCTCCTTGCCAAGGGAGGAGAGGGAGTCCCTGCAGCAGTAAGGTTCCATGTTTAATACCTGGTCAAAGAGGACATGGACCCCGATCTTCTCGCGGTGATTGCGCTCAGACCACCTGCAAACACAAGGGATCAGAGACTCGGGGTCTGCTCGGGGCTGGGGGGGTGCACAGGCAGACACTGCTCCACAACCCCCCAGTGAAGCATCACTGTTTCCCTTGTTTTCACTTGAAAATCTCCTACAGCCACCTTTCCCACACAGCTCCTTCCGTCACTGATGGCATTAGCGGGGATGCTGTTGAGGTCACAACAGCCAAACAGCCTTTAACATCCTCAGCTCTGTCAATAAACCCCCCACACACACCTGGCCTAACCATTTTAGAAGCTTTTCATAATATATTGAGCTTTGTCTGCCATTTATTCAACAGGTAAATACACAATACTGGCATTTAACTCTCGCAACCTTCCACCTTTAACAAATCTCCCAGCTCATCCACTGATCACCTCCCAGCCATCCTCCCAAGCTGTCTGCAAACCCAGCAAAGGCCCTCGAGGACAATTCAAGGAAACCAGGACTAATATTTACAAAACATTACACGGGGTGCGTGGCAGAAAAGATGGCAGAAACAAATCTGCACGCCACAAAACTGCCCCTGGTTGCGAGGTGAGAGGGTTTCACACGTCTGATGGGTAAGAGGTGATCCACCTGCACTCAGCAGGATGTGGGAGAAGTTATGGGCCCCCAGTTCTTCCCCAAAAGCAGAGGGCAGTGTCTCTGCTGCCCCCACAGCGTGTCCCCTCACCTGAAGCGTTTAAGGTGCAGCCGGAGGACCTGAGGTAGTCTGTAGATCAGCAACTGCTTTTTAGCCTCACTCAGAACAAGAGGCTTAGGAGAAGACTTTCGCCGTTTGCCTGACAAAAAAAAAAAAACAAAACACCAAAAAATCAAGGGAAAGATTGTTAGGATTTGATTAATTCCCAGGAGAGAAAACCAGCACGTGATGACCTCTTTGCTCCAGCAGCAGTCGAGCTCAGGTGTGCTCGGGAGGGACACGCAGGTAAATACTCATGAATTCCTTCACAGGAACTTCTCCAGGACCAAAACTCCCCCTTTTGTGATGCTCATAATCACACAATCAGTTGTCACCTTCAAGCTGCTCGTGCTGATGTTTTGCCCTGAGAAATACAGCAGGAATATTAAGACAGAGCCAAGGCCAGAGACATCTGAGGCTGCAGCAGTTCCAGTTCCCACAGGGCAACTCCAGCACACAAATAGCAGTACCTGATATTTTATTCTGTCTGCTACTTTGAGCTTCTTACAGCACTAGAATGAAGCTTGTAGCAGCCTGCACTAGCTCAAGGGTATTAATACAAGTCAGAAAATGCTTCCATCAAAGTCCCACCAACAGCAAACAGCCCCTGAACCAAAGCTGGAGAAGAGCGAGAACGGTTCCTCTTCCCAGGGCTTGCTCTTTGCAGGACACTGAACATATGACTGTCCCAGGAGGAAGACAGGTGGCTGTCAGAGCTTCCAATAGGAAATGTACCTGTTAATTAGATTTCTGCACCTCAGTGCACCAGCTCAGAGCAGATGGGTGCCTCCTCCTCCGGCACGTCTGACACGCACTGCCCAGATCATTCCTGGCACCTGGACTCGGGCTGGTGCCTTTCCCTGGCTCTTTCCAGCTGGTTAATGCTTCCCGAGCCATTTAATTCTGAAGTAACCATTAAAATTCAGCTTTCACAAAGAATCAAAGCAAACTGAGTTAAGATGAAGCTGAACTCATCCGCATCGACAATTTGTGAACGTTATTTGTGAATCAGAATCCATTCAAATCATATTTGGCTTTTTTCCAAGAACATCCAGTCAAGGATTATTTCCTAACACTCTGAGAAGATGTTTGGTAACAGATTTGCCAGTTGATAGAGAACAGATCTCTACAAGTATTTGCTCCTCCAGCTGCTTAGTTGCAATGCAAGTCAAATCGCTGGCATTTTCCTCCCAAGGGAATGAACGTTTGCCATAAATACCTGCATGAAAAAGAATCCAAATCCAGCTTATCAGAGTAGCTGAGCTGAATGGTAATACACAGGCTAAAGTGATTTTCAGGGATATAATGACCTTTCACTCAGAGCTGCTGCAGGAAAGCAAAGTCATCTACTAGCTGAGCACAGCAAAATCTGTGCATCACCTCACAGGTAATAACACATTACCTGAGCCTCCCTGGATAATGCCAGGTCAGTGCTTCCCAACAAATGCCCACACAGGGATGAAACTCTCACCTAGCACAGCTACAAACCTTGAGAACTCTGATTTCTGGGTCAAGGATTCAATCAAGAACAAGCAGCATAGAGAGGATGTGTTAGAAGAGCTTTCCTGCCAGGCAGAGATGAGTAAAGTACGGGGGATAAAGCCCTTCTTTTGCCTCTAAATCCACCTCCCTCTCTCCCAAAAAATTCTTAGAAGTCCCCTCTAACACAAGTGAGGGCAGTTCTGACCAGGCTTGTATCAAACCTGTAGTGAATTGTGCTGCTGAATGGCAGAGATGAGAGAAAAAATGACACATCAGACGCAGAAATGACACGTCGGGTCCCAACCGGAGCCCAAAGGAGCAGCATCTACCAACGGCAGGAACCAAACCAGCACGGAAGGACGGAGTTTTCCCACCCAGACATGTTTCCAGGCACACAAGACCCCCCTCAGACGCAGAGCTGGTGCCTCAGAGCCCACTCACTGTTGCACTGGTCGCAGGCGTAGATCCTCCCCTCCAGCGCCTCGGTCTCGGTGAACTTGGCCAGCATCTCGGTGAGCAGGCACTCTGCCTGCTGCACGGGCACAATGCCCTTCTCCAGGGAGTGGTAGCGCTCGGGGAACTCCAAGGAAAGGTCCCAGAAGGGCTCCACGGTGTTGGATTTGTAGTTGCACGTGATGCAGGTGACCTGGGGATGGGACAAAAACACTGCTCTGTACCTGCACTCTGGCACTGAGTGTCACAGCCACGGGGCAGCTTTGTGCCCAAAGGGCAGAGCAGTTCCACAAAGACCTGTGAGACAAGAGAAACACTTCTCATGTCCAGTCTGAAAGTAAATAATTTAAAACTTCTTTCTCTCTTCACCTTTCTGGGATTTACTTCCTTCCTCAGATAAACACCAACTCACAGCTGGCACATTTGGTGTCTCAAGATGATTTTCATATGCTGGCAAAAAAAATTGTCACAGAGCTTGTGACCCTCATCGTATTCTTCCTAGGCATGGAAATAACACCAAAAAGGGACAAAACAAAGGAAAAAACACTTTAAAAATCACACTCAAAACTTCAATCTAAGGGGTCAGAACTTCTGTACTTGTGCAGATTTCACCCTGAAGTGACAGAAGCCAAGGGATAATGCATGTGACAAATATGGAAATGCTGACACCTGCACAGCAACCCAAGGGATTTCTTCCCCAGGAGTTGCTCCTGAGCCACTCCTCACATATCTGGGGTCCTCAACACACAGAGCCTTTGCTCCTCAGTGTGAACGGCTCCAACTGATCCCTGTGCCAGAGCAGGTCCGTACCTGGCTGAGCAACTGCCCATGGAAGATGGTGTTGACCACCTTGAGGACCTGCTTGGTGAGCTTCCTCTGCGAGAAGGGGATGAGGATCCTGCGCTTGGTTCCTTCCGACTCCAGCTCCTGCTGGACTTTATCCAGCAGCTCGCAGAGGAATTCCTGAGCGTCCTGCTGATCGTAGCCCCGGAAGGCCGGGATCAGGCTCCACACGGAGTGCAGCATGGCAAAGGGGGACACGAGGGCCCACTTGCCAGACCACATCACTCTGAAGAGGGTGTGCAGTTCGTGGCAGAGGGAGATGTGCTTCGAGCTCGGCTCCTTGGGCTGGATCAGTTCTAAGCTCCGGCTTATGGAGGAGCTCCCATTCAAGCCAGCTGGCGAGCTCTGCGTGCCAGATGATCCCACTTTGTCAGTCTTCCCTGACTCATTAGCAGCAGACCCATTTGCCAGTTTGCCAGGGATCCTGGCCCTCCCGTTCACAGTTTTAGCCAAGAGTTCTTCTGTTTCACAGAGATCAAGTGTCAAAAAACATTCTCTGAACTTCTGGAGGTGACTCAGCACTTGCAGGATGGAGTTCATGTAACAGGTGTTCCCCAGGTTCCTCAGCCCCGTGACCCCGGGGGTCATGAGGGGCTGGCGCCGGATGGAGTAGAACTGTCTGAACCTGCTGCTCTGCACCTGCCTTGAGGTAGGGGAGGAGGCCACCTCCCTGAATTTCCTTGGAATCAAGTTCTCCCCGTGCACGTGAGACAACAGCCTCGCGCTCTTCCTGGGGGGGGTGTTCGCCAGCTCCTC